AGTGTCTGCTGTCCCATGCCAGCCCCATCTGATTCTTTCCCTGTCCAGGAGGAGCAGCTGGGACCAGCGAATCTGCTGCTCAGGAATGCCCCAAATGCTTCTGCTATTTTCCACTGAGCCTGAAGCATTTCCCTGGAGCAAGACAAAGCATGGCAGCACCCTGAGCAGGTTCTGTCCCCTGCCCTACCATCCCCAGCCAGCAGAGTGCTGCACCTACTCACCATTGCACATATCCTGCAGCCTCTCACCAGCATTGCTGTCGCTCCTCGCTTTCCCACCGAAAAGTCCAACTACGTGCAACCCCTCCAGCATCTGCTTCTGCCCATCCTGCAGCACAGTGCACACAGCACGAACATCCGACCTCCGCTCCCACAGTTGAAGAGCCAGGACAGAAAGCTGCTGCTGGGACTCTTCTGCATATTGTGAGCTCCGTAGCAGTGCCACTGGCACTCTTCTCACTCTTTGCTTTCCCACCTAAAAGTCCAAGTGTGTGGAACCTCACTGGAGTAAGGCAGTAATGACTGGACGATCATTCCTTGCCTCCCCCTTACTTTCCTTTTAAAGAGGAGTAGGAATTTAACGCAACTAACATAGCTGAACTGCAGGCGGTTTAGAGATGGGAGAAATAACACAGTACATTTGAGTCCAAAATCAGTTCCTTGAAAGACAGACTTCTTTTCCTATCTGAATTACTGAGGAGCTCTACATAACTCAGGACCCTTAAGAAGTGGTTTGAGACTCTCCGCTCTACTGCTGTGGAGTACTTAAGTACCAAAGGATACTTGCCACACTACCGCAAACACATGGGTAGCTGCACATACTCCTTAAGCAAACAGTCATCGCTTTGATAGTTAGAGATTTTATGTGCATACAAGACCTTCATCCCTGACAAATCACTGTGACAGCATGTATGGGACAACTTCTTTTATGGTGAAATCAGAATAATTCAAAGCTTTGTTGTAGCTCAGTAAAATCATGCATATTACACACTGCGTGAGAAAAAAAAAAAAGTATTCCATCACCTCCTGATAAATACAGACCTTGCAAGGACTGTTAAAACTAGGTTTGCAGAACTACTTCAAGTAACTCCCCGCCGCGACTCCCCCCCTTTCCCTGCTGAACTGCCCCAGACCCCCTTGGTGCCCCGGTTCCTCAGCTCTCCCCCGTGCGGAGCAGTGCCGAGCCGTGCCGTTCCATGCCATGTCAAGCTTTGCCCAGTAATGGGGGATAATGGGAGGCAATGGAGGGTAATAGGAGGGCAATGGGAAGTGTCGGCTCCTCAGGGACCCCCTTGGGTCCCTCAGAGCCGCTCCGCCCCATTCGGGTGGCTTCGGCTTCACTTGGCTCCCTTCAGTCGGGTCCGCCCCCTTCGGGTAGCTTCGGCTCTGCCCTGGTTCCTTTCGGGCAGCTCCCCTCGGTTCCCTTCAGGCGGCTCTGTTTGCTTTGGGCTGCTTCGGCTCCGCTCGGCTCCCTTCCGGCAAAAGCCGGTATTCCCTCACTTTTGCCTTAGAAAGTACTGGGAAAGAGGGAATTCCAACACATTTACCTCACAAAGCAATGGAAAAGAGGGAAGCGCATCACTTTTACGGCATAAAGCAGTGGGAAAGGGGGGGTGGGGGTGTGAGGGCGGTGCCATCTTGGGCTCTTCCTCCTCCTCCCTCCCTCCGGCCCCGCAGGTCTGGCGCTTCCAGCCTTGCACCGCCCGCCGCCCTAGGGCGGCCGTGGGGGACACGAAGAGGGAGGTGCAGGAGAAGGAGACATAAGGGGAGGCGGTGGGAGGCATCTTGGTGGGAGTACTTCATTGCCTGCGCCATCGGGAGTGCGGCTCTGCTCTGCCATGTTGAAAGTGGGAGACGGGGGCGGCCATATTGGTGGGGTGCCGCTGGGGGCCACTGAACAGGTGCCATCTTGAGTATGGCACGTGGCAGCGGCCATATTGGTGAGGCGCCATCTTGAAGTACGGCACCTGGGGCGGCCATATTGTTGAGGCACCATTGTGTACCCGCCATTCCTCCGTATTGAGCCCGGGCCCTCCCTCTTGCCGACTCATGCCCTCACCCCTCATTGCGCCCGCGTTGCCGTGGTAACGGCCGCACCTGAGGCGCCGCCATTTTTCATTCCAAGATGGCGCTGGCGAGCGTGGTGGTGGAGGAGGCTCTGCTCCCACATTTACCCCCTTAGACCCACATTTACCCCCCTCAGACCCACATTTACCCCCCTCAGACCCACATTTACCCCCCCTTAGACCCCCATTTTCCCCTCTTAGACCCACATTTACCCCCACCTTAGGCCCTCCTTTATCCCCGTTAGACCCCCATTTGCACCCCTAGACCCACATTTGCCCTCCTCAGGGTGCTATGGGGCAATATGGGGGTCCTATGGGGTGATATGGTTGTGCTATGGGGCGATATGGGTTGGCTTTAGGGATATATGGGTTGGCTATAGGGATATATGGGGGTCTTAAGGGGTACTGTGTGGGGCAATGAGGGTGCGGGGAGGGGGGTTAAGGGGGTGCTGTGGGGGTCTATAGGGGTCTAAGAAGAGAATATATGGGCCTTAGGAGGGGGATATGGGCACTACACGGGTCCTGTGGGGGGGTTATGTGGGGCTGAGGAGGGCTTATGGGGGGTTGTTGGTGTTCTATGGGGGGATATGGGGGGCCTGGGGTGGGTTATATGGGGCTGGTGGGGCCTTACAGGGGTTCTATGGGGGTATATGTGGGTCATGGAAGATGATAAAGGGGATTATGTGGGTCAGATGGGGTGTGTATGAGGTGCTATGGGTGTTTATGGGGCTCTGTGTAGGTCTATGGGGTCTCTGGGTCTCTCTGTGGGGTTTCTATGTGGTCTCTGTGAGCTCTCTATGGGGTCTCTATGGGACTCTAAGGAGCTCTATGGATCTCCATGGGGCTCTATGGGGTCTCTGTGGGGCTCTCTAGGAGTCTCCATGGGGTCCCTATGGGGTCTCTATGGGGTTTCCCTCACTCCCCACAAGAGCTGTCATTGCTGGAGCTGCAGGCACAGGTGCTGGTTCAGTACCTGCAGGACCTGGGCCTGGTGCTGGTGGCCAAGGCCCGGGAGGGCCCCTGGGGGGGCTCCCGGCCCTGCCCCGCCTCCTGGAGACCCGTGTAGTGAGGTCAGGCTGCCCCACGTTTGGGGGGCTGCCCCATAGCGGCCGCAGGGGAGTTCCAATGGGGGCTGGGGGGGGGGGTTCTATGGGGCTGGGGGCTTATCTGTGTGGCTGGGGGCTCTATGGGGTTGGTATAAGGGGTGTGGGGGGGCAGAGCTATGGGGCTGGGCTCTATGGGGCTGCCCCACAGGTCCTGGAGAAGCTGCGCCCCATCGAGCACCGCCTCAAGTACCAAGTGGGGAAGGTGCTGTGGGCGGCCATGACGGGGGCCCCAAGTGAGCCTTGCCCCATAAGTGCTCCCTACAGGGTTCTGCCACCCCATAGATAACACGTGACTGCCCCATAGGAGCTGAGCACCCCTTGGCCTTCCATCCGGAGCCCTACAACCTGGACGAGGTGAGCTGTGGGGCAGCACAGGCTGCTATGGGTGGTTGTGGGTGCACTATGGGGCAGCTCATGCCTCCTCTGCCCCATAGGAACCTGAAGCAGCCCCACTGAAGGCGCCTGGCTTAGGGGCGGGCTCTGCTATGTCCCGTCCCACATCATCCCCATGCAGTATGGTGAGTCCAGGGCCTGCCCCACACCTCCTGGCCCCCACAGAGCTCAATGAAAGTGCTGACAGGTGCCTGCGCCCCATAGATTCCGTGGGGCAGGAGCAGCGGGCGCAGGAGGTGGCGCAGCATCAGGCCCTCAGCAGCTCCGTGCTGCGGGAGCTGCGGGACGAGCTCGGTGATGCCCCCCAGGAGCTGTGGGGCAGCCAGAGGGCAGGTGGCCAGCGGCCCCACAGGGGCGATGTGGAGAGGTGGGTGCTGGGGGGGGGTTATGGGGCGCTATGGGGCTGGAGGGGGGAGTTATGGGGCTGTGGGGGGGGAGCACTTGTGGGGCAGGAGGTGGCCACTTACGGGTCTCTAGGAGTCACTTAGGGGGGGTGTGATGTGGTCTCTGTCCCTATGGGGTCGCTGTGGGGTTGTCTGGGGTCACTATGGGGCTCTATGGGGGCTCAGTCGGACTATGGAGTCGTTATGGGGCTCTATGGGTGTCCATGGGATCCCTATGGGTCTCTGTGGGGTCCTAATGGCTCTCTGTTGGGTCTGTATACGTTTCTATGGGTCCCTGTGGGTCTCTATGGGTCTCTGGTTTCTATGGGTCTCTGTGGGGCTCTATGGGGTCTTTATTGGTCCCTATGGGTGTCTACGGGTTCCTATGGGTCTCTGTGGGGTCTCTATGGGGTCTGAGTTCTTATGTGTCTCTATGGGTCTCCATGGGTCCCTATGGGACTCCGTGTGGGTCAGGACCCACCTGGAGGAGTCGCTGCTCCTGCGCCTGAGCGAGAGCCACCAGGCCCAGGCTGCACGGCAGCGCCTTCAGTGCGTGACGTCATTGGGGGGTGGAGCCTTGGCCGCCTTCACCCACTTCGGGGCCTCAGCCACCCTCTGGGAGCCACCCAGTCAGGAGGCGCTGCCCGCCAAGAAGAGGAAGAAGGCAGCCAATGGGAAGAGGAGAAGGAAGGGTGAGTCCTAACCCTAACCCCATCCCAACATGCCCTGGGGCTGCCTGCCCCATAGAGGCAGCACTTATGGGTCACTGACACCCCCCTTTGTTTCCCCTATAGGTTTCCATTGACGGCGCTGAGCCCCACATTAAAACACATCTGCATCTCATTTGCATACTCAAAACCATCATTAACCCTTATAAGGGAGCGCGGCCCATCCAAGATGGCTGCCACCACGTTGCTGACCCAGTCCAGCCCCCAATGCGCACATCCCCAATATGGCCGCCCCCGGTGGAGGCTGCCATCTTGCTCCCCAAGTTGACCCCATGTGACCCACCAGCTGCCGGGTCTCCATAGGTGCTCCGCGGAGCGCCATAGAGCCCTGCAGCGCCCCTTAGAGGCGGGAGGCCGCGCCGCCCGCCACCACCACGGTCTCCCCGGTGATGTAAGCGGCGGCGGGAGAACACAGGAAGGTCACGATCCCGGCCACGTCCTCCGGGGAGCCCAGCCTGCGGGGGTCACGTGATGAGGGGAGGTGGGGGTGTCATGTCATGGGGGGGAGAGGGTCATGATGGCACCCACCTGTCGATGCCCATGGCTTCCATCACGCGCTTCTGCATGGACTCGTCCTCCCAGAGCTGCCATAGAGACCCATAGAGATCCATAGGAACCCATAGAGACCCCATAGAGACCCATAGGGACCCCACAGAGAGCCATAGAAACCCACAGAGACCCATACAGACCCCATAGGGACCCATAGAGACACACAGAAACCCACAGAAACCCATAGAGACCCCATAGAAACGAGACCAACAGACACCCCATAGACACCCCATATCCCCCCATAGACACCCACAGTGCCCCCCAGGTCACTCACGGCCCTGCTGAAGCGGGTGCGGATCAGCCCTGGGGCCACCCCATTGATGCGGATGCCGTGGGGCCGCAGCTCCGGGCCCAGCGCCTTCACCAGCCCCAGCAGCGCCGCCTTGCTCACGCTATAGGGCCCAAGCGCCTGTCCCACAGCGACGTCACTGAGCTGCGGCCAATCAGCTGGCAGCTGCTCAGCGCTGCGGCCAATCGGCTGACAGCATGGCTGAGCCATGGCGCAGCCATGGGGTGCAGCACGGATGGAGCCCGCCCCATAGGTCCTGCCCCATAGATCCTGCCCCATGGATCCCACTCATTGGGGACTGTGCTGTGGGTCCAACCCCATAAATCTCACCCCATACACACCCCATAGCCTGCTCCATCACCGCCCTACAGCCCTCCCCAGAGACACCCCATGCCCCCCCCCCAAGCCCCATAAATCCTGCCCCATGGATCCCACTGATAGGCCACATGTCATGGGTCCAACCCCATAGATCTCACCCCATAGCCTGCTCCATCACCACCCCATAGCCCCCCCCATAGACACCCCATAGCCAGCCCCATAGCTCCCCACAGCTCACCGGGAAGGGCATGTACCCGGCCAGCGAGGACACCACCACAATGGAGCCTCCCCTGGGGGGATGAGGGAGGAGCCACAGTGGGGTGGGCGTGGCCAAGGCTTGACCCCAACCCCTCCTCCCCAAGCCCCACCGCCCTCACCCCCTTTTCTCCATGTGGGGCACCACGAGGCGGATCAACATGGCTGCTGCGGTCACGTTCACCTGGAAGATCTATGGGGCCAGATCTATGGGTCAGATCTAAAGGGCAGGATCTATGGGGAAGGATCTATAGGGCAGATATAAGGGGCAGGATCAACAGGGCAAGTTCTATAGGGCAGATATATAAGGGGCAGGATCGATAGGGCAGGATCTATAGGGCAGATCTATGGGGCAGAATCTCTGGGTCGCACCTTATCCCACGCCTCCTCCTCAGCCTCCAGGGTGCTGCCCATGATGGGGTTCGTGGCCGCGTTGGACACCAGGATGTCGATGCCCCCATAAGTGTCCAGAGCCTGTGGGGATGGGCGGGGGGGGGGGGAGGAGTGTGTTGGTCTGGACCCATAAGTGTGGGGCTGGGACCCACAAGTGCCCCCCGCCCCAATTGACAGCGCTCACCTTCTGCACCAGCGCCTGCCGGTCCTGGGGCCGCCCCACGTGACACACACAGCCGGTCACGTGCTCCAGCCCCAGCGCCCGCAGACGCGCCAGCGCTGCCTCCACGTGATCCGCCCGGCGCGAGCTCAGCACCACGTGGGCGCCGGCCCCGCCTAGCGCCGCTGCCACCGCTAGCCCGATGCTGCCAGGGGAGCAATGGGGACCCATGGGGCTCTATGGGTCCTATGAGTCTCTATGGGTCTCTACGGGCGCTACGGGGCTCTATGGGTATCTATGGGCTCTATGGGGCTCTATGGGGTGCTATGGGGCTCTATGGGGTCTCTATGGGCTCTGTGTCTATGGGTCTATATGGGCTCTGTGGGGTCTCTATGGGGATCTATGGGGCTCTATGGGGGTCTGTGGGTCTCTAGGGGTTCTATGGGGTCTCTATGGGGTGCTATGGGGCTCTATGGGGAGCTATGGGGCTCTATGGGGTCTCTATGGGGTCTGTGTCTCTATGGGTCTAAATGAGCTCTATGGGGGTCTATGGGGTCTCTATGGGGATCTGTGGGGCTCTATGGGGGTCTGTGGGGTCTCTAGGGGCTCTGTGGGGTCGATATGGGGCTCTATGGGTCTCTGGGCTCTATGGGGTCTCTGAGGCTCTGTGGGTGTCTGTGGGTGTCTATGGGTCTCTATGGACTCTATGGGTCTCTATGGGGTGCTATGGGGCTCTGTGGGGTCTCTATGGGCTCTACGGGGTCTCTGTGGGTCTCTATGGGGCGCTGTGGGGTCTCTATGGGGTGCTATGGGTCCCTATGGGTTACTATGGGTCTCTGTGGGTTCCTGTGGGGCTCTGTGGGTCCTTATGGGGCACTATGGGGCTCTATGGATTCCTATGGGGCTCTATGGGGCACGATGGGTCCTTATGGGTATCTACTGGACTCTATGGGTTCTTACGGGTCTCTATGCGTCCCTAGGGGTACCTATGGGGTCTCTATGGGTCCTTATGGGTCCCTATGGGTCTCTATGGGTTCCTATGGGTCCCTATGGGTACCTATGCTGTCTCTATGGGTCCCTATTGGGCTCTATGGGATCTTATGGATCCCTACGAGGTTCTATGGGTTCCTATGGGTCCCTATGGGTACGTATGGGGCTCTATGGGTCCCTACGGGTGTCTATGGGTTCCTATGGGGCTCTATGGGTCCCTATGGGGCACTCACCCATCGGTGGCCGCTGTCACCGCCGCCACTTTCCCCACCAGCGCCATTGGGAGCGCTCGGAGCTGGTGCCCCACAGCGGCCTCTGCCCTGCGAGAGCACCGGAGCAATGGGGGGGCCTTAGGGGACACCGGAGGGGGCAATGCGGAGTAATAGGGAGTTAATGGGGGGGAATGGGAGGGTAATGGGGGCAATGGGAGGTCAATGGGGGGAATGGGGGTTAATGGGGAGTAACGGGGGTTATAATGGGGCTTAATGGAAGGTCAAAGGGAGGCATCGGCTCCTCTCGAACCCCCTCGGAGCCTCTCGGGTCCCTTCGGGCGGCTCCGACCTCTTCGGGTGGCTTCGGATGCGCTCGGCTCCCTTCGGCACCGCCCCTTTCGGGTGGCTTCGGCTCGGCTCGGCTCCCTTCGGCTCCGCCCCCTTCGGGAGGCTTCGGCTCCGATCGGCTCCTCTCGGCTCCCTTCGGGCAGAAGCTGGAGTTCCCTCACTTGTGCCTTAGAAAGTACTGGAAAAAAGGGAATTCCATCCCGTTGGGCTAAACTGGGCTGGGCTGGACTGGACTAAACTGGGCTGGACTGGATTAAACTGGGCTGGACTGGATTAAACTGGGCTAGACTGAACTAAACTGGGCTGGACTGGATTAAACTGGGCTAGACTGAACTAAACTGGGCTGGACTGGATTAAACTGGGCTGGACTGGGTTAAACTGGGCTGTTCTGGATTATATTGAGCTGGAGTGTATTAAATATGGCTGTACTGGGTTAAACTGGGCTGGGATGGATTGAACGGTTCTGGACTGGGTTAAACTGGTCTGGACTGGGTAACCTGAGCTGGACTGGATTAAACGGGGGTGGACAAGTTTAAACTGAGATGGACTGGATTAGAGTGGGGTGGACTGGGTTAAACTGGGCTGGAGTGAACTAAACTGGGCTGGGATCTGGATCACACTGAGCTGGACAGGATTAAACTGGGTTGAACTGGATTAAACACGGCTTGACTGTATCAAATATGTCTGGATTGGGTTAAACTGGACTGGGCTGGACTGAACTCTTCTGGACTGGGTTAAACTGGTCTGAACTGGATTAAACTGACCTGGACTGGGTTAAACTGAGCTGGACTAGGTTAAACTGAGCTGCACTGTATTAAACAGGACTTGAGTGGGTTAAACTGAGCTGGACAGGATTAAACTGGGCTGGACTGGGTTAAACTGTGCTGGACTGGATTATACAGGGCTGGACTAAATTAAACTGAGCCGGAGTGTACTAAACTGGTCTGGACTGGGTTACACTGAGCTGGACTGGATTAAACGAGGCTGGACTAGTTTAAACTGGTCTGGACTGGATTAAACGGTGCTGGACTGGATTAAACTGACCTGAGGTGCATTGAAGTGGGCTGGACTTGATTAAACATGGCTGGACTGCATTAAACTGAGCTGGACAGGGTTAAAGAGGGCTGGGCGGGATTTAACTGAGGTGGACTGGGTTAAACTGGGCTAGGCTGGATCAAACGGGGAAGGACTGGGATAAACTGGGGTGGGCTGGGTTAAACTGGGCTGGGCTGGGTTAAACTGTGCTGGAGTGAACTAACCTGGGCGGGGATGGATTGAACTGAGCTGGGCTGGATCAAACTGGACTGGACTGAGTTAAACTAGGCTGGGGTGGATCAAACTGAGCTGGACTGGATTAAACTGTTCTGGAGTGGGTTAAACTGGTCTGGACTGAGTTACACTGAGCTGGACTGGAATTATTTTGAGCTGGACTGGGATAAACTGGGCTGGTCTGAAATATACTGAGCTGGAGTGTATTGAATATGTAAATAGTGTATTAAATATGTGTATTAAATATATCATTGCTGTCGCTCCTCCCTTTCATACCTAGAAGTCCATTTGAATCCAACTTCTCTGGTGGTTGCTCTTGGCTGCCCAGCAGCAGAGCACGAACGTCTGGCCTCTGCTCCCAAAGCCGAAGATCCAGGAGGGAAAGCATGTGCTGGGCATCTTCAGCACACAGTCAGCTTTGCAATGGTGCCTCCATCATTGCTGTCGCACCTCACTTTCATACCTAGAAGTCCATTTGAATCTAACTTCTCTGGTGGTTGCTCTTGGCTGCCGCGAAGCACAGTGAGTAGAGCACAAACGTCTGAACTCTGCTCCCACAGCCGAAGAGCCAGGAGGGAAAGCATGTGCTGGGCATCTTCAGCACACAGTCAGCTTTGCAACGGTGCCTCCATCATTGGTGTCGCTTCTCAGTTTCATACATAGAAGTCCATTTGAATCCAACTTCTCTGTTGGTTGCTCTTGGCTGCATAGCAGCACAGTGAGTAGAGCACGAACGTTTGGCCTCTGCTTCCAGAGCTAAAGAGCCAGGAGGGAAAGCATGTGCTGGGCATCTTCAGCACACAGTCATATTTCCAATGGTGTCACCATCATTGCTGTCGCCCTTTGGTTTCACAGCTAAAAGTCCATTTGAATCCAACTTCTGCGGACCTTGTTCTCGGCTGCCCAGCAACACAGTGTGTAGAGCACGAACGTTTGGCCTCTGCTTTCAGAGCTGAAGAGCCAGGAGGGAAAGCTGATGCTCAGAATCTTCAGCACACAGTCAGGTTTGCAATGGTGCCTCCATCATTGCTGTCGCTCCTCACCTTCATCCCTAGAAGTCTGTTTGAATCCAACTTCTCTGTTGGTTGCTCTTGGCTGCACAGCAGCACAGTGTGTAGAGCATGAACGTCTGGCCTCTGCTCCCAGAGCTGAAGAGCGAAGAGGGAAAGCATGTGCTGGGCATCTTCAGCACACAGTCAGCTTTGCAACTGTGTCACCATCATTGCTGTCGCTCCTCGGTTTCATACCTAAAAGTCCATTTGAATGCAACCTCTCCAGATCTTGCTCTTGGCTGCCGAGCAGCGCAGTGAGTAGAGCACGAGCGTTTGGCCTCTGCTCCCAGAGCCGAAGAGCCAGGAGGGAAAGCTGGTGCTCAGAATCTTCAGCACACAGTCAGGTTTGCAACGGTGCCTCCATCATTGCTGTCGCTCGTCATTTTCATACCTAGAAGTCTGTTTGAATCCAACTTCTGTGCTGATTGTTCTGGGCTGCCCAGCAGCACAGTGAGTAGAGCACGCACGTTTGGCCTCTGCTCCTAGAGCCGAAGAGCCAGGAGGGAAAGCTGGTGCTGGGCAACTTCAGCACACAGTCAGCTTTGCAACGCTTCCTCTATCATTGCTGTCGCTCCTCTGTTTCATACCTAAAAGTGCATTTGAATGAAAGATCTCCAAAGCTTGTTCTCGGCTGCCCAGGGGCACAACGATCAGAGCATGAACGTCTGGCCTCTGCTCCCACAGCTGAAGAGCCAGGAGGGAAAGCATGTGCTGGGCATCTTCAGCACACAGTCAGCTTTCCAACGGTGTCACCATCATTGCTGTCACTCCTCGGTTTCATACCTAAAAATCCATTTGAATGCACCCTCTGCGGCGCTTGCTCTCGGCTGCCCAGCAGCACAGTGAGTAGAGCACGAATGCTTGGTCTCTGCTCCCACGGCCGAAGAGCCATCAAGGGAAGCTGGTGCTCAGAATCTTCAGCACACTGTCAGCTTTGCAACGAAGTCACAGTCTTTGCTGTCGCTCCTCGGTTTCATACCCAGAAGTCCATTTGAATCCAACTTCTCTGGTGGTTGCTCTTGGCAGCCCAGCAGCCCAGCGAGTAGAGCACGAACGTCTGGCCTCTGCTCCCACAGCCGAAGAGCCAAGAGGGAAAGCATGTGCTGGGCATCTTCAGTACACAGTCAGCTTTGCAACTGTGTCACCATCATTGCTGTCGCTCCTCGGTTTCATACCTAAAAGTCCATTTGAATGCAACCTCTCCAGATCTTGCTCTTGGCTGCCGAGCAGCGCAGTGAGTAGAGCACGAGCGTTTGGCCTCTGCTCCCAGAGCCGAAGAGCCAGGAGGGAAAGCTGGTGATCAGAATCTTCAGCACACAGTCAGGTTTGCAACGGTGCCTCCATCATTGCTGTCGCTCGTCATTTTCATACCTAGAAGTCTGTTTGAATCCAACTTCTGTGCTGATTGTTCTGTGCTGCTCAGCAGTACAGTGACTAGAGCATGAACGTCTGGCCTCTACCTTCAGCGCCGAAGAGCCAGTAGGGAAAGCTGGTGCTCAGAATCTTCAGCACTCAGTCTGCTTTGCAACGGTGCCTCCATCATTGCTGTTGCTCCTCACTTTCATACCTAGAAGTCCATTTGAATCCAACTTCTCTGCTGGTTGCTCTCGGATGCCCCGGAGCACAGTGAGTAGAGCACGAACGTCTGGCCTCTGCTCCCAGAGCCGAAGAGCCAGGAGGGAAAGCATGTGCTGGGCATCTTCAGCACACAGTCAGTTTTGCAACGGTGCCACTGTCATTGCTGTCTCTCCTCGGTTTCATACCTAAAAGTGCATTTGAATGGAACCTCTCCGGAGCTTGCTCTTGGCTGCTCAGCAGCACAGTGGGTAGAGCATGAACGTTTGGCCTCTGCTCCTAGACCCGAAGAGCCAGGAGGGAAAGCAGGTGCTGGGCATCTTCAGCACACAGTCAGCTTTGCAACGGTGTCACCATAATTGCTGTCTCTCCTCGGTTTCATACCTAAAAGTCCATTTGAATGCAACCTCTGCGGAGCTTGATCTCGGGTGCCCAGCAGCACAGTGGGTAGAGCACGAACGTTTGCCCTCTGCTCCCAGAGCCGAAGAGCCAGGAGGGAAAGCTGGTGCTCAGAATCTTCAGCACACAGTCAGCTTTGCAACAGTGTCTCCATCAGTGCTGTTGCTCCTCATTTTCATACCTAGAAGTCCATTTGAATCCAACTTCTCTGTTGGTTGCTCCTGGCTGACCAGCAGTACAGTTAGTAGAGCACGAACGTCTGGCCTCTGCTCCCAGAGCCGAAGAGCCAGGGGGGAAAGCATGTGCTGGGCATCTTCAGCACAGAGTCAGCTTTGCAACGGTGCCTCCATCATTGCTGTCGCTCCTAACTTTAATACCTAGAAGTCCATTTGAATCCAACTTCTCTTGTGGTTGCTCTTGGCTGC